CCTGTTGGATTTCTGGGCAAGTCCTGTTGGGATGAGAGTGAGGATAGCATTAGCAGAGAAGGGAGTCAAGTATGAGTACAAAGAACAAAGCTTGAGGAACAAAAGTGCTTTGCTTCTTGAAATGAATCCAGTTCACAAGAAAATTCCAGTTCTTATTCACAATGGCAAATCAATCTGTGAGTCACTTAATATTGTTCAGTACATTGATGAAACGTGGAAGCAGTCTCCGTTGTTGCCCTCTGATCCTTATGAAAGAACTCAATCTATGTTTTGGGCTAATTTTGTGGACCAGAAGGTATGTTAATTATTTTTTATTATAATTTTTTTACTTACCATTTTTAGATATATATCCTAACGGATACAAATAGTTTTTCTTCCAAATCTGTTACCAGCTACAACTGGAATTAAAGAAACTCAATAGGACACTGATAAATGAGTTAAACCTCTTGGTGAAAACATGGTTAACCATGTTTATGGTATTCAGTACTCATAATTATTTTAGATTCTTTTTTTTTTGTACTCGAAAAGTATATATTTACCATATTTGTACCATTTTGATTGTCCAAAATGTCTCAGATTTACGGTGTGCTTTTTTCATCCCTGCCTTTATGTGAACCTGTAGATTTATGACCTGAAAGGGAAAATGATATGGACAGCAGAAGGAGAAGAGCAGGAGGCAGCCAAAAAGGATTTTGTCGATTGCCTCAAGTTGTTAGAAGGAGAGCTAGGAGCCAAGCCTTACTTCGGGGGTGGGACCCTGGGCTTTGTGGATGTTGCCTTGGTCCCTTTTTATTGCTGGTTTCATGCTTATGAGACCATGGCCAACTTTAGCATAGAGGCTGAGTGTCCTCAGCTGATTGAATGGTGTAAGAGATGCATGCAGAAAGATAGTGTATCCAAGTCTCTTGCTGACCCCCAGATGATCTACAACTTTGCGATGAAGCTGAGGAAGATTTATAGGCTTTCAGAGCAAGTATGATGTTAAGTTTGTGTTGTTAATCAGGTACCATGTGCTACTATGTATTTGGAATAATGGGACACTTAGTTGTGTCTTTCCTTCGTTGTATGTTGTTCTTGTCTTTAGTTTAAGAGAGTTATGTTCATTAAAAATAAGAGGACACGTAGTTGTGTCAGTTGTTATATATTGTGTATTTTAAGAATGATGCAACACTTTGCTTATGTCCGTTTATGTATGTTGTTCTTGTGTAATTCAATCTGAGAGAGCTACGTATTTTAAAAATAACAGGACACTTAGTTGTGTCCATTGTTCTTGTGTATTTTCAGAATAAGGAGACACCTAGTTGTGTTTATCTATCCTTGTATTGTTCCCATGTTTAGCATGACAGAACGATATATTGTAAAAATAATGGGACACTTAATTGTTTCTATTGATTTTGGGTGTAATTTGAGATCCCACTTAAAAAAGAAATAATAAAAAAAGGCACCTCCATTGTTGGGTTGAGCCATATGTTTTCCACTCTTATGGAAATAGTTAGGTGACTGGTTTATATTTTTCTTGAGGCTACGGAGTCACGGGAGGCCTAAGGGCTGAAACACTAACTAAAACTAGCTATCCCGGGATTGAAAAACAAGAAATCCCTTCTCACGTCTCTAATCTTTATTTTTTTTATTATCAAAACCCTCTAAATATATGTTATTATTGATATCTTGTATTGTAAATCATTATTAACACTACTAGAAAATTGGTAAATATTTAAGTTATAACTTAATATATTGTTTTTTGACATTGATGGTAGTTTTTTTTTTTTTTCAGAATTCCATATGGAAACTTATATTATTCATAAAGATGTCCTTGAGAATACATTTTTTTTTTTCAATTCACGTGGAAATTAAGTAAATTGATTATGCGCTCAAATGGTAAAGAGCTCGCTTGATATGCGCGAGGCATGGGGTCTGATGATCCCTCACATCTCCTCCCAGCAATAATGGGGGGGATGGCTTGGATATTTAGAACTTAAAAGGCTTGAAATTCTATGGTGGTAAATCCCTGTTGAAGGGATATTTTTTTTCCTACCTAAAATGACTATTTTTATTGATTATTTTGAAAAATTACACATTGGATCTCAGATGTGCAGGATACTCTAAAACAGATCGGAGACGTGGATGGAGATGGAGATCAGGAGGCCAAGTGACATCAAGATACATAGTTAGATATGGCTATGAGCTGTGTCCACATCCATCTGTGCATAAGACAGAAATTGCTTGTTTGAAAGCTTTGTCTTGTTGTGTGCTGTCAATTCTTTTATTAATTTCTGTCACATGTAGTCTTACAATATGTCAGTATGTATTTTAGCAACGTGCACATGAACGGAAAAACTCTTTTCAGTAATGCATGGTTCATTGGTGATTCAGTTAATAAAAAATTTACTTATAAATTATAGACAGATAAAGAAGGACACAAATAAATTTATCTGTTATATATTTTATTGGTAAATTTGTAAATTTAACATATCATTAATAATATTATTAGTGTTTTTATTTATTTGTCTATGTACCCATTAATAAATATAATATTCTTCATTAAAATATCATTCATAATTATTTAATTATAATAATGATATTTATAGTAATTTTTTTAATTCTCTAAAATATATTGATGAATTTGTTTTCATCGGTAACTCTGTTGAAAATATTTTTTAAAAAAATATATATTAAATGGAAGTAGAAAAATAATATAAAAATCAAATATTTATTATAAATTTAAATATTTATATGTTTAAATATAATAAATATAAAATATAGACAGGGTTGGAAAAGGAGGATGAGGCTGGTCATCATAAAGATTGTAGAGCTAATTAGAGGGTGCACATTACCAATTAACAGAGTTTTTCATAATTAACAGTGAGTCATTCATATTTTTTTTTATTAAAATGAATTGTTCGAGCCTATACTTATTAGTCTAATATCATCACGAGCTCTACAGTTTAAGTGTTTAGAATTGATAACAAACATCTAACGATCAAAATACTACAGGTTATTCGCAAGCTCTTAACCATAATGTTAAGAGAGTTTGCACACCAATTGATTTTATTCAAACCTACAAAAACTTGAAACCTGCAAAATTTTAAGCTTGCAAAAATACATAATATATATACCATAAACTAGTTGATTTTATTCAATTTTTTTAATAATTTAACATAATTTAATTTCATAGAAAATTTTTATTTTTGATGTGATAATATTTTTAATCATAACTTTACAGAAATCTATTCTAAATTTACAAAAATTCAAAATAATAATTAAAATTAATCCTATATATTTAATTGAAATTAAACATCATAATTGAAAAAAGGAAGCAACTAGAATTCAACAAAATAATATATTCTAAAGTTATATTCATCACATTGGTTGACTTTTTTTTTTTTCCATTTTTCTACTGCAATTCTCTTGTTATATGTTAAGATAAGTTTTTTGTTATTGTTCATTAATGGATACATGAATGAAAAATTATATCGAAAGTTTTTTATTACTGTTTATTAATAGATACATGAATGAAAAATTATAATAGTAAAGTGTTAATATTTTTATTTATATTTATTAATTTTCTAATAATATTGAATGGGCAGGAAAAGCAGTGGTTTTTGCACTATAAAGAGCAGCCATTGCATTGTGTAATCTTCATTGGTGGTACTCGCAGATCCAATGCATTCTCAAAGATAATAATAGCTTCTTAGGTGTTGAAACTTGTTGTGGATATAAAAAAAAAAAAAAAAAAAAAAAAGAGGCTTGGCTTTCGGTCAACACTTAAGTTTAGTTTTTAATTTTTAATTTTCTGGTAGAGAGTTATTGTTTGGTGTTTTTTCTTGGATTTTGTTAGTCCTGGTAAGGTTAAAGATAATTTTTTTAAAAAAAAAAAAGTTTATATATTTCTAAATAAAAAAATATTTTTAGAAAAATCAATACCATAATCATATTATATACTTGGTATTAGAATTATAATGTTGTCTCGAGTAAACAACAACGAATAATCCTCACAAAGGATAGGATATGGTAATACAATAATGGATGTTGCTCGCAAACTAGGGCTTGGCCTAGTGGTGGAAAGGGCTTGTCTTCTTCCACTGCACCTGGGTTCAAGCCCTAGCGTGCACGCCTGTCACCCCCACGGTGCCTTACATGCCTACTGGGTTTGCAGGATATTCAGTGGGCCGTGGGGATTAGTTGTGGTGCGCGCAAGCTAGGCCGGACACCCCACGTAAATAAAAAAAAAAATAATGGATGTTGCTCACTCTCTCTCTTTTCAATGTTTAAAAGAACACCGAATTGCAACAGTGATTAAAATTTGGGGGCATAAAAAATGTTTATGTAATATTTTCTTAAACTCGTGTGGGTTTTTATTAAATCATTAAAAATCTAAAAATCAGAAACAGTGATTAAAATTTGTGACATTTTAGAAAGGCATGATTTAAGATTTCATGCCTTGTCCCTGATAAATGTGCAAAGGCAAAGTATCACCATTCAAAATAACTGGTTTTCTGTATTATTTTTTTTAATCATGGCATTTATTTTTTGAGTTTAGAATGATTAAATTCTAGTTCTTTGTTTTACAAAATAAACACAATAATTGCAATGATTTGCGATGGAAATCCAATCCTTGCGTAGTTAATTTATCATTTTCCTTGGTCAAATCATCAAAATAAATTATTATTCTTCTTTTTTAAATTGTGGTAATTAAATAAGCTTTATTTTTATTTAGATTCTGACAAATGTCAACTAGGTTATAAATTAATTTATCAATAATCTAATTTGATTAGATCAGTTATTATATAATTTAATAGAAAACCAGCTGGAATCTGGATTAGTAGATAATTATTAAATTACCCATGAAAACCATGAAAGAATTGAATCTAATTCGAGTCAGAACGCGCACCATTAATGTTCAAAAGAAACCACCCGAAATCGAAGTCTAAAATGGTTAAAAAGCGAACAAAGAAAGAAACTAGGGCAATGGAGAGAGTGCCAAAAATATTCGGCACACAATGCCATGGTCAAAAACGAAGGAAGATTTCTTGCTTCGTGGAGAAGATGTTTCCACTTTTTCAACTCTTGAAAATGTGGGTATCTGTCTGCTAATCCTGCGAACAATTGCTAGCTATCAAGACCCCAGTCGCCGGAGTACAGCTCAGGCAATCCACAAAGTAGATTCTCCGTTGACTTCTCCCAAGAGTTATGGAAATATTATTTCCGGCAAACACTCTCCGCACCCATGAAACCTCTCTGTTATAAAATCTCAATTTATTTGTTAGATTGGGAAAAATGTTACCTATTCGTGCTATAATTACAAAATTTGAAAGCAATTACTTTTCTTTCCAGAGATCTGTGACTTTTGACCCTATGATGTGCCCATCTCACCCGCTGTTTACGGACACACGGTTTACAAAGCAAATTCGTTAAAACCAGCGCGACTCATGAGCAGGTTCAAAGTTTGAGTCAGAAATTGCATAGGTTAAGCGATGTTGACATGAATCAATTTTAAAAAAATATGCTGCTGATGTTGACATGGGAATTTTCAAGTGAAGGAGAGAATGAAGGTTATTAAAGAGTCTAGAGAGAGGTTTGGGAGGTTCTTTTATAGGTTTCCTGAAGGAGAATCTGCTGCTGATGTTTTTGATCGCGTTTCAGGTATGTTTCTTTCCGTTCGTTTTGTTTAGTTTGATTGATTTCTGTTGATGGGTTTTTGTTTTTTAGTTGAAATGAAGATTAGAGTAATGCTAATAGAAATATAAGGAAGAAATCAAAATGGGGTCCTCTTAAAATCATTAAAAATTGCTTCTTGTCCTGCATTTTCTTGTTTGATTTATGTTTCCTTTTTGGTTTTGCTGTGTAGTTTGATTAATTTGTGTTAATTGGTTGGTTGAAGTGGATGTAGAATGGTTAATAAAAAATAAGGAAAAGGAATGGCGGCTTTATTAAAATCAAAAAAAATTTTCTTGTTTCTTATTTGGCTTGTTTATACTGTTTATTGAATTACTTGAGCTTTGCTTTTACTTATTAGTTTTGGTATTTGGTTGTTGAGCTTGGTTTGTTGTTTTGTGTTTTTATATGGGAATGTCTGTTGCTTTGGCTGTTTAATTTCTAGCTAACTGAGTCCTTTTCCAAAGCTAGGAGAATATAGAGGATTCATTTGAATTGAGAAACTAAAAATGGCATTCTATTTTTTTCGTATTTCTTTGCTAAATTTCAAAACTTATTCTTTTTGGATCTGATGTATTGAGTTTTGGCTCCTTATTCTGAGTATCCTTTTCCGAATCTCTGTGTTTCTAAGTGAAAATGCAGGATATGCAAAAGTATGATGTGCTTAACTTGTTTCTTCTGAAAGACAAAACTTCTTAATTTGTCCATGGACAGTCATCTATTGCTCTTCTATATGCTGGTTGGGCTTGTCTTTTTATGAAGCTTGTTTGTACTGAAGATTGTTTCCTGCGAAATGCTAAATCAACTAGTATTGTAGGCTTGGACATATGTAAGAGGCAGTGGATTTCATTCGGTAGCCGGACATTCTGTAGTTGTTTTACTGTAGTCTAGTGACAAAAGGTGTCCATTTTTCAGCTCATATTTGCATGTAAGATGAATATATTTTGCTTCCTTCTCTATGATATTAAATCTGTTTGATACCTGGTTCTGGAGGCCTATAGCATTGATTTTAGTTGATGTTTCACTACCTTGAGTGTCTCATCTAATTAAGGTTTTTTTGGATCATAGGATATTATAATTTGTTTTCTGTTTATTGCTTGGCAAAAAGAGCTAGAATATTATCTAATGCATTTCCCCTCCCTGAAATAGCTCTTTCTGTAAATTTGGACCAAACATGACCTGGGTGTTTTTGTTGGTTAGTGATTTGATTCTATTGTTTTAGAAAATTGGACAGCTAAATAATGTTGCTGGAAGTTAGAGATAATTTGATGTCGTCTCTCATGATTTAAGCTTCAAAGTGATGAAATTCTGAATCTTTCAAATTGCTTGTCTATTTATTGTGAACGTCAAACTGGATGGCTTTGGGTTAATTATGTTACTGTTAACATGTTTTTCCTTTTTTTTTAATATGAATATCAGAGGTAACAAATCTATCGGCAAAACACTTTAGGGCAGCTGTTTTACCTTTCAATGATATACTTTTTTCTGGGTACCTAATTGGAGATTCATATAGTCAGAGATGGCATGTTCACTTTGCTTATTTGTTCAGCACTTTGGAAAATGCTATATGCTAATGGCCTATTTATCACAAGTCTCATAACACGTCAGAAACAGGAAACTGGTGATTTAAGAAAAAAAACTGTTTCTGTATGATGTTTTGTGCAAATTCTGGAAAGTCTGGCAACAATTAGTGAAATTAGATCTCTAGTAGGGAAACTCATGACTTTTTATTTTTTGGTGAGCCCCATGTGGTTTTCTTTATTGTAATCTGCGGGTAGTATATTCATGAGAGTTGTGCTTCAAAATCAGTCTTGTAGTTTTTGAACCTCATGTCTGTAAAGAAGAATTTCTTGCTTTCCTTATTATGGTCGGGTTTGGCGTGTGAATTCTTATTTTTGCATGATATTGTGAAAATGATATGCCAGCTTCTTTGATTCATGTATTTTTTGGTGGCTGTTTTTGATTTATTGATCATTAAGTGGATTAACCATTACAAAAAATTGAACTTTTATAACAGAATGCACGGGAAATAACCTTTATTACAGACTGAATAACAAAGGCTCAAATTTGTACTTCACAGGTTTTCTTGAATCTCTATGGAGGGACATAGATATGAAAAGGTTTCACCGAGACCCTTCACATGACTTAAACCTTATAATTGTATCACATGGGTTAACTTGCCGCGTGTTCCTTATGAAGTGGTTCAAGTGGACAGTTGAGCAATTTGAGCACTTGAATAATCCAGGGAACTGCGAGTTTCGAATTATGCAGTTGGGGCCTGGTGGAGAATACAGCTTAGCCATCCATCACACCGATGAAGAAATGCTAGAATGGGGACTCTCTCCTGAAATGATTGATGATCAAAAGTGGAGGATGCGTGCCAAGAAGGGTGATTGGAACGAAAAATGTCCTTGGTACCTTGATGAGTTTTTTGATCATGTAGCAGACTCAGACAGAGAATCCGATGACAAAGAAAATGGTTCTTCAGGCATGTGTGAATAGGGTTCCTCTATATTTGATTGATAATTCTTTGATTCAATCTATAATAACTGCACTTTTCTAATGGTAAACATTATATTGCAAAATGAAATATGTTGGGTTTGGTTCCATGTCCGGGTCATCCCTCAAAGAGCACCATCAAGTTATGAAATTGATTGTACTTAGTATTGATTGTAAACAATGTAAGACATTTTTTCTTGACAATGTATGATTTAATGCTGTCATGCGAGGACATTACATCATGTGATCATTTTCATGAAGAAACATTTTGTCTGGGATTTATCAACAAGGCTTCTTCATTCGCAGCAGTTAATTGTCAATTCATGAGATTCTTGGGAGGCTACAAGCTTCCGCACAGCATGGCATCCAGGAAAACAGAAATCTGGTCTCAGGTCTGTGCTGGCGATTTCCTTTTGTGGACGTGACTTTTCCTAATGCACCTGCAAGCTTGATGCCGGCAAGCAATAAATACTCAAGTTGAGCCTTATGAACCGTGCCTCTAAAGTGTTATATCAATAACCCTTCTATATTAGCAAACACCTTTTAACCCCCTTGTTGATCAACCCTGAGGGCTAAGGCCATTGCAATTTTTTATTGTCCAAGTCTATCTCATCGTGGAATTTTTTATTGTCCAAGTCTATCTCGTCTTTGCCACTTTTCATTGGCTAACAATATTGTATTTAGTTTTAAACCTGACATGGGATCCGCTCGAGTAAATCATGGATCAAGTTGGTTGATATGGGTTATTTAGGGTTAGCAAGAAAAGATCTCCAAGTTTCAATTGAGTTTTTCTTAGGTTGATAGGGTTACAAGATCAAATTGATTTTTAACCGTGTCATATCATATAATACTCTTTCTATTTTTATTGAAGTCCAACCTGATTTAAACTCTAAATTACTTTACTCAAGGATCAATTTATAGCCAGGATGAGATTTTAATATAATAATTTTATTTTTATTGAAATTCGACCTGATCTAGACTCTAGATTACTCTAACTAAGGATTAATTCATGGTTAAAATGAGATTTTAAAATAATAATAATTTTACTGGTATTTCTTATTTTTAATTTTTATAAAAAAAAAAGATAATTAGGTAGAATATATACTATAACATTTACATATTCTCTTATTATTTTCGAGTTGATGATCCCTTAGTCCAATTGATAGTATTATAAATGGATTGATTTTTTAGATTTTCACTAAAGATTAGAAATAGATGGACTGTAATTAATGATATATTCTTTTCAATACCTTAGCCTTCGATAATAAAAATTCTTGAATAAAAATTTGAAATCATAAAATGTAAAATAAATCCTCTCTGATCCAAGGCTTGCAAGTAATTTATTGAATTCTGTTATGAAAATTCACATGCTCTCCACCAAAAATTAAAAAAGAAAAATTCTTTTTGTAAATTAAAATGACTTGTCAAAATAGCATGCAAAAAATAGGGTTTTTTAAAGATAAATACCAACTGACAACAGTATCCATCTGTTATTTAGATTGTGGCTATCAGAGAAAAACAAACGGTTATCTCCAGTTAGAATTTACTTCTCTGTCTTCAAAGTTCAAACAGTTTGATAAGTGATGATGACAAGTTTTACAGCCTGTTAGCACAATCAGATTACTGCTACTTCAATAGCTTCTCAAATCTTCTTTGATAAAAGTAGCAAACCGAATGATTAAAGCTAAACATTATAGCACTAGTAGTTTAAGATTAAAGTACTAAAGCTTCAGTTCAACATTTTCTCCCTCTGTACCTTTTCACTTTATAGGGATTTGGGGTCTCCTTTTCCATACATTCACTGAATTTGCTATTTTTAGTAGTGTCAGTACAGATAGTAAGAGTCATAGTCTAGTTACTGTTGTTAGACTGCTTGGATCTCCAAACCGAGTGTGACCCAGTTCTTTAAACGTTTTGTTTTGGTGTTCCTGCATATAAAAAATTTGGTTTTTGACATCTGGGTTTTGGTTGTTTAGTTGATTTCTTTGAACGCAAAAGAGAAAGTTAGGTTTTTTGGGTTTTATTCCTGTTTTTGGATCGTGGAAAGTGGGAACTGCAGAGATGGCATGCCCTTCAAAGCATTATGGTTTGAGGAGTAATGGTGCTTTAAGGGTGGCTTTGGTGTTGTTGGCTATATTCTTTGTAGGCTACATTGTTGGCTCAGGGTTGTTTTCGAAGGGGAGTTCAAATGCTGCTTCATGCTCTTGTGATTGTGATTGCTCTCAAGAGCTAGAATTGATATGGACAGTAGGTGAGTAAAAGATCCTTACCAAGCTTTCCAGAAAATGGTTATGTTAGGTAGTTTCCATATTTGGGTCTGTTTTGATGCCATATTAATGTGCCTATTTCTAGTTACGTTTTTACATCTGTGTAGAAAATAGCACTATTTTTGGCAGCGTTCTCTTTTGATGTTGCAGTTCATAAATGGTGATTGATTAGCCTGTGGTATGTGGTGTTTATGTAATTTGGTAGAATTCCACGGGGTGGAAATTTCTTTTTGTTCATATTATTTTGGTGATTTTGTGGACTTTTTTTTGGGTGTTAGTGTTTTGTTTCTTTAAATCTCTTAGTTACTAGCAGCATTGACATGGTTATAGTTGTGGAATTGTGAGGTTGAAGGTAGAAATGGTTTGTGTTTCTTGAGGTGTTGGGAGTTCAGAGATAGTGCAGGAATACAGGATCTTAAACAATCCTTCTTTCTGTCTAATTTCTGCTGTGATAACTTTATGGGGCTTTCCTTTCTTGCACATTTTTAACATCTCTTTTTTAGTTATTCCGTGAATTTGCACCAATTATTAGCTCCCTTCAAGCTCATTCACCAAAGAACAAGTATATGTACATTCATGGTAGATTTTCCTTTCTATCCCATGAAACATGAATCAATTTGAATCATATTCCAATGAAATGCATTTGGTTTCTTAGGCCCAAGTTGTGTCCAGTTACAGTTAAATTAAGCGGGACTGTTTCAATGGCGGATAGCATGGACATTTGTATGAATCTCTGCTTTAACAGGTTGAATAGGTTGTAGGAATTCACTTTGGTAGCAAAACATTTTTATGTTCATGAGTGTTGTGTTGAACTCTGTTTTCAAGCCATTTGATGTTAATTAGACTCTTGACAGATCTGCTTTCTGGCTTCGAATAAAAGGACAAACATCACTGAACTATACCACCATATATTTGAATGCTGATTACATGATGACGGTGATGCTAGAATAACCCTATTCTTGTTTTTTTCTTTTCCTGATTTGGATGCTAGAGTACCCTTTGTCATGCATCTGAAGTCATTCCAATATGAAATGCTAAAGCTCAAATGCACTTCAAGACAGTAATGTAGAGAATATGAAGTTATTGCCGCTTTCTTTAACCTTTTACATGATTGTTTGTGAATTTTCTCTGATTCTCCTTTGAATCTTGATTGTTTGTTCTTGTATGTTGTAAATACTTTGAATATCTATTTGTCTCTCCTTTCCCTCCCTTTAAAAACATTGCTGTTTCCTCTAACTTCCTTTTTAACATCAATGGTTCTGCAGAATTTATCAACAATTCATATCCAGGTCAGTCCCCTTCTTTCATCATTCTTTGTTTAAGCTGTTGTTTATTTCGTTTCCTCGAGGATTGAATGAAATGCTCCCAGCAGTTGAAGTTGGCATCACTGGGATCGCATTTCATCCTTTTTACACATGATTTTTTATTCTCAAAGCATGTTATTGTGGAAACTTTGAAATTGGGAAAAAAGTTTTCTGCCGTAATTCCTTCACTATAGAAGGGTCATAAAACATAATGCAAGAAGAGGTTAATTTATCACAACACTTGCATATGTATTGTTCTCAGTTACAAGCCCTACAATACAAGATACAGCCACAGTAGTGCATCATGTAATCATTTAATGAATTATATATCATGGTTACTAGCAGTACACTTGATGAAAGATTGGATCACGTGGTAAGAACTAATCAGAGTGATCAAATTTCTCTGGCTTTTGGAAGAATTGGAACCAGAACTGGAGCCATTGCCAGTGTTGGTTTCTCTTTTCTGTTTGACTTTAGAATTAAGACCTTCTAATCGGAGGCAAAGCTCAGTAAAACTGCTTCCATAATCATGAAATTATGACTTTCGCATGAATCCAAGGAAGGAAAACTGCAATTTGTATCAGAAATATTCTCGAAGGTATTTGTTAATGAGAATCATAGTAGGCTAACTGAGATTTTCTTACAGGAACATTTGCTCACTTCACTAGACGAATACATTTCTCCATAACTCATGGAAGATTTATGCCCTGCTGAAGATGCTTTACATTTAATTTTTTTCGAGCTAGTTTTACTAATATTCAAAAACCTTCTATCCTGTATTTGCAGACTGCGGCAAACACAATCCAGAAATGGGTGAAGAAATGCAGAAGAATGCTGTTGATTTAATATCAGATGAGATTGAATTACAAAGAAGAGTAGCTAATGAAAGATTGGAGCAGACCAGGACATTGGTAATAACTGCTAGGAGTACTTCTTCACAGTACCAAATTGAAGCACAAAAATGTAGTGCGCATACACAAACTTGCGAAGAAGGAAGGGAGAGAGCTGAGGCAGGACTAGTAGAGGAGCGTAAACTTACAGCATTGTGGGAGCAACGAGCCCTAGAACTGGGTTGGAGAGAAAATATAACTTACGCGGATAATAACACTATTCATAGTCCCGAAAACAAAGACAATCATTAGGTTTTTGATTGTGGAGTAGCTCGTCTATCCCTACTTTACCAGTCTCGTGTATATAAATATTATTTTTGCACTTTTTATCTACTGTTTTCTATTTGAAAGAGTCACTTTTTAGGATGCCTTGTGTATTGCAAAGGAAATTAGATCAGTGAAACTTGAGCAATAAGCTTTCAGGTCCTGCTCTGATAGAAACAGGTCTTTCAAAACAAAATGACCTTTCTTGAAGCTGCTGTGAGGAATCAGGGAAATCCTAGAAGATCTTGAACAAATTCTGCTCTAGAATCATGAAAATTTACTTTTACTTTCCTGTGGAGGCAACCACAATTTCATATCTGATCCATACAAAAACTGCTTCACAAGTGTATACTGATGTCAATAGTTGTGTTTTTTTTCAGGCCATAACATGCTCAAAGCTCATACGAATACAATTGCAATGACAGATCCTTTATAGAGCCTGATTCTGTGCAGCTTCGTTCAAAGAAATTTCATAGGTTAACCTATCCGGCAGAACATTTTATTTTTTCCAGTGTGCCTCATGATTTGCAATATCTTCATTGAAAACACTGCACTTCTGTATCCTGCAAAGAACTATTCTTCG